TGAAACCTGATTCCAGCCTCTGACATGGGTCCACATGCAAATCTTGTTTTAACATCTGCACCAACCAGTGAAGACCCACATTTCACAGACCTCTCTTTGCAGACACACAGCCAAGCATACAGCCAAAGTCTGAGTGCAGCTGAAGCACACGCAGCATGAACCGTCTGAACCTCAGGACCGAGCTTCAGCCCAAGTAACACAGGAAATGTTTCCAGATTAAGGTGGAGAAACTTGATCCCTAACCTGCTGCACGTGTAAATGGGTTTACAGGAAGCAGCTCTGGTGGACAGACACCAGGACGCTGTGGGTACGTGGTGGCTTGGGGGTGTAAAGGTCAACACAGCAGCATTAAAACAAAGAAGGCGTTTCGGCGCCTTCAGAACAACAGGGAGCTCTGTGAATATGTGACTGGAGGCCAAAGGTGACTGGGACTCATCAGTAACATACATGTTCAGGCTTGTATATATGGGACTTTACTGCCTGATGATTGAAAGTAGCTGGACCCGAGAGGAGCATCTGTTATGGATGTTTCTACAGACGGCGCTGCAGATACGTAAACACACACACATCCATCGTGACATTATGAAAGTGCTATTAACTGCAATCATCATCAGCCGCTTCCTCTGCGTGCGGACACCTGTTGTCTGGTTTCTGCTGCCTCGTTTTACATAAACAGACACATCAGACTGACAATTAGCACCGAGCTGGAGAGGGAGGAAACATCATTCAGAGACCAGGAACAATGACAGGAATGAGTGGGAGGAGGAAGAAATAGCAGAGGAAGAGGAGCAAAGAGCAAACTCCACATGAAGATCAGGGAAGCATTTTGCAGCTTTTACCTCTAGGAATAAACTTCATCCTGCTCATGAACAGTGTGTTGCTGTGTGGCGTCGCTGTTCAGCTGCACAGTCACACCAGCAGCAGCCTGAGTGCCACTGGTTTGAATTTGACTGTTAAGTTGTCCGGAGATTACTTTCAGGTGAACCTCTACAGTCTAGTGCTGCTCCAAACGCCGGTTTAGAAAATCTAAGTGCTTTTGATTCTCGTTGTATGACTGTGTGCTTAATAAATGCCTGGTTATGTTCTTGTTATTCAAAGTTAACAGGTCTTCTCTCTCCATGCGACCTCTGTGTTCATCCAGTGTGACATCATGTTGCTTAGATTCTGTCTAAATAGGAGTTAATCCACTCAGAAATGTTGAGTTTAGATCTGTGAGCCATGGTGGAAACTAGAAGTGCTCAAGACCATATCAGAACTCCGGACCACGCTCGACTCTGGCCCAAAAGCGTCCGAAACACTGGCCACGTGAGCGTTGCTTAAAACTAAGTGCACCCAGGTGAAATGTTTCATGAGAACCGCAGTCTCACTTAAAGTCTCTAATCTATCAAAACTGACTGTTATTTCTCTCTCCAGATTCATGATTAAGCCCCCGAATTGAGATCTAAAATCTGTCTTAATTTTAGACTCTTCCTCTGCTGCCAACAGCAGACCTGTTCATAACGTGTAGTCTTATCTGCTACGGTCCAGATCTTAATATGTAAAGTATCCTGAGACAACCTTTGCTGTGATTCTACACAGATATAAATGAATTGAAGTGAGTGTGTATCCACAGCGGGCCATCATGTTGGGCAGTGGGACACGTACTCCGCTGTCAAACACACGCCGTAGTAGCTGTCTATTCGCCTCTGAGCTACACTGCACAAACTCCAGGATTCAACAAGAGCTAAGAAGCTTCCAACAGTCCGACCATGCTGCCAGTCTGAGCTGTCGACTGGACCTCGGTCAGCAGCAGCAGCACCACCCCTTCCCAGTGTGCGGGCGTCACTCTGTTAATATAGTCATGTCACCTGTTGTTCACAGAGAAGACACCATCCTCCCCTGAGCAGAAGGAGAATTTGTCCTGAGGACATGCTTTTCTTCAAAAAGGCAACAATTTGGGACTTTGGGAGATGTTTACATTAAAACAGCAGATTGTGTGTGTGTGTGTGTGTGTGTGTGTCTAAATTAATCCCCCCTACAGCCGTCAAATTAGAGGAGCGCCAATCAGATGTACCCATAATCCCCCATGGCTGCACCAAATGAACACTGGGTAAATGAAGGACAGAACAGAAAGTCAACACACAAACTTCATCTGCATGATCCCAATTTCTATCAGGTGTGTGTGTGTGTGTGTGTCTGTTTCCTTTGAAGAAAAAGCCTCCAACATCTAAACCCACCCGGAGGTTCTGGTCGCCACGGGCCAACTTTCTCTTTCCTCAAACAAACTGTCAGCAGATAGTTCCCGCCGTCATATTTACTATAAACTCTCTGCAGACCTTTTGGGTCCAATTTATTAAACGAACATCTGAAGCAGATCGGCCCCGAGGAGAAACGCTTCAACATAACTATACAATGCAAGTCTACAGTGCATCTGTATTTTTACTTTATTCGTTACATTCTGAGTACAAAACCTTTGTTACTTTTGCGTTTTGTGAAAGAGGAAAGTCAATTTGCTAGAAAACGATGGCAGGGATTATGGGGAGCAGACAGATAAGAGCCAGATTGAGACAAAAGAAACTCTCTTCACATATATGAATGCAGTTTAAAGTAGGTCACAGACGGCACAGCCCACTGAGGAGCAGGCTGGATCCACTCTACTCTGATGTAGCACAGAGCCTCTGCAGAAGCTTTATGAAAATGAGCACAGACCTGTTACGATCTGGCAGTCTGAACATCCTGGTGTCCATGGGTCCAGCAGGAGGACCTGCTCGCCCTCCCCTCCTGTCTATGCCCCGTTTCCTGTTTGATGGCAAAAGCACAAAGCGACATCCAGAGACCCACTCTGATGCCCGACTCTCCCAGCGTACACACACATTTCAGAGCCATATTCTGGCCTTGCAGAAAACTCCAGTGATGCATGTTTTCTTTGCTCCTGAACAAAAGAAGAAAATAATGAAAACGCCACAGAGAGCAGTGTGTTCCCATTAAGCAGCAGCAGAGGAGACTGAAGTGTTGTTGTGTGTAAATGGCAGCAGCCTCTTCATGCTGTCACTCTCTCCACTGTTTCAGTTTGCTGTAAATGTCAGAATGATTTTCCATCCGCAGTGATGTTCAGCGGCCGCGCTGGGTCACGGAGAAGAACACAAAAACCACTTACAGCTGAACTTCGGGCTCCTCCTGAGGCCAGCGGGTGACACAAGCAGGTGGAAACGATTTAGGTTTTAGCCTGAGTCGCATTAAATTTGCTGTCGCCAGGACGTGTCGGAGTCAGACTGACGAACCTGCCTCTTAACTCCACATTTTGTCCTTCTCATTCTAAAGAAGCTGAAACTGCATGTGATGAAAGATTACAGACACCTGACGGGAACGTTATTAATTATTGATCAGAGGCCCGAGGGTGATCCAGCATGAATAATACAATAATAGAGTCACAGTGTTAGTCACAGCTAGCTGCCCTGGGCCAACATGAAGGGCCGCTAGCTGCTAATAAAAAGTGAATGAACTGGGAAACATTTTATTTCTGCAGCTGCAGAACATTAGGCCAGTTTTCGTGACCAGAGGTTTAGAGCTTTGAGTAAATGAGTTTAGAGTTTTAACAAGATGAACAAAATCTTCAGCCAGGTTTGTTTCACTCTGTGAGAGAAAACCTTTAATGAAACTAATGTTCTGGAGATTTCTTGTGCTTTAACTTTGACAGACTGAAATCTACATTCACATCCCAGCTGAAGTTTTCCAGGACTGGTGTGTCCACAGCAGTGTGAACAGTCCAGACCAGATCTGGGCCACCTGCGTATGTGCTCCTAGACCCGATTCCTCTCCGACCACTGGCTGTGCGAGTGCCATCAGAACAGTCAGATCAGAATCCATGTGGCTGTTTTAACGTGTCCTCCTCTGCACATATGGCCTGTCGTCATCATTCAGCATCAGAAAAGTACTTTACGCTACAGAGTGAGGACATCTTGGCCAGTCCCCACTATCTGAAACACCTTTTAGAGTGTTAATACTTGTTTTTAGGTTTCAGGTTAGAGTTTGGGGCTAGGGAACGCCTTATGTCAGCAAGTGTCCTCACACAGACAGAAGAGAAAACAAGCAGAACCTGAAGCAGATGCACATTTAGTGACTTGTCTGTTCCTGCTGTTAAACTGGAAGCAGGCCCATGTGTAGCATTTCATTTCATTTTTAAGCAGCAGCCCAAAGATGTTTCTAAGTAAAAACTTTTGTTGCTGTTATTTAATAATGAGGATTCTTGTTTTTCTGAGACTTATGAGAGTTTTTGTTCCAAGACTTTTTCCAGACTCTTGAGTTGAAGAAGAAAAGTTTTAGCTGTAATTCCAGAGGAAACGTGTGAATCATCTGCAGTTAGTTTTCCATTCGAGTTTAAAAACAGAAAAGCAGAAATCTCCTCCAGCTAATGTTTGGTTGGTTCAGAGTTTGCATAGTTTTTGTTTCTTTACAGAGAAAAAGTGCATCCAGTTTTGTTTGTGCTGTGACTCTGGGGCAAATGCATGTTTAACAGAAAAAAATATTTAAGTTTTATTTGTGTGGTTGTTTATGCTGCGAGTTTGTTTTGGACCCTAGAGACACTAAGCTGAGCTTCCTGCTCTGGGTGTGTGTTCTGCAGGAGTCGAATCTGGCTCGTTTATATGTCGCGCTCTCAGGGGGGTGAACACACTGACACTGAAAGTGTGGATGGGCTGACGACGTCTGCCCCCTCTAATGCATGATGGTAGATCCAATGTGAACAAGGAGAGCACGTCCGTCATGGTTAATGTGGGAGGAAAGAAATACTGTTAGGTCGTTCTTCCGGCTGATAGCCACAGCCTGTTTGCCCTCATTATGTATTTAAGCTAATGACAGCCCTGAGACACAGCTTCCTGTCCACAGTCCTAGCGTCACCAGCTGAACTGGTGTTCTGCAACTCTGCTGAGGTTAGCGTTAGGCTGTAGTAATGCCACACTAGGAAGAACAGTTTCATGCCATTATTTTAAACTGTTAAAGAAATGTGACACAGCCCAACATACCGTACTACTGTTTTTTGGGATGAAATCCTTTCTGCCGATGTTCTGAATCCACCGAAGGCGGACACCTCTCTCTCTCCTCTGCTTCCTGGAAACCTGTGCAGACAGGATGGGTCTCAGGTGAGGCCATGCTCCATGGAGGAGAACCTTGTGGATTTGGCATTCTGCTTTTTTCCAGCAGTGCAGTTTGCCACTACTGCTGCAGCAGCCAATGACAGCACAGGATCTGCCAGCACTCCTGGACATGCTGATCTGTGGCTGAACCTGAAGGGAGATCAGTCCCATTCACTGTAACAGATGTGTGATGTTACTGGAGGCAGCAGTGACAGAGGCTTTGGAGCTTCAAGCTCTGACCCGGATTTGTCCAGCACTTGAAATAATGTGAAGGCAGAGACAGAGCAATAAAATCTAATGACTGCACACACAGGCAGACAAACAAGTCATGTGACCTAGACTGCCTAGCAACCACCTGGCAACACCATAGCAACCAGGTGACAATCACCTGGGAGCCAAAAGCAACAAGAGGAAAGCAAGATGGAGGAGGAGGAGGAAGGAAAGTGGTGAGAGTGATGACAGGAAGACGGAATGAAGGAGGACAGGAAAAGAAGAGGGGGCAAGAAGGAGAAGGGGTGGAAGAGGAGGAGGAAGCAGGAGAGGATGAGCAAGAGGAAGAAGAAAGAATAAAGTGTGGAGAAAAGTAAGAGAAGGATTGGGAAGGAGAAAAGAGAAGAGGAGAGGAAATGAGAAGCGGGAAAGAGAAGGGAAAGGAGGAGAAAGAGCGAGTAAAACTAAAAGGAGAAGAAAACAAATGAGGCAAAGAAAGGACAAGCAAGAGAAGGATGGAAAGAAATCAGGGGAGAAAGAAGGAATAAGATAGAAAATAGAGGGGTGATAGAGGAAAAGAAAGAAGGAGAATGGAGGAGGCAGGGCAAGGACAGGAAGGAAGGAGAGGAGACAGGGGACAGGGAAAAGAAAAGTGGAGGAAAGATGGTGAGTGGTAGAGAAAGTGAGGAAGGAGGAGAAAAATGCAGCAGAGGAATGTGATGAGGAGAACAACAGGAAGCCGAGAGATAAGGCCACGCTCAGGAACGCCGGCGCTCGGCTTTCTGGATAAACAGTTCACTTCCCAGCATTCCTCAGTGAGGACTGCTGCACATTCACACACATTCTGGGACACTTGCTCTGCACCACAAACACTCGCTCTACCCACAATGCACTGTGATTACTTTGCTAGTATGGCTGTGTTTATGAGAAAATACTGAGAGTTTGCAGCGGGGACCTCCACCACATCCTTCACACTACTAAATGTCAGACAGGAATTAAAATGCTGCTACAGTTAGAACAGCAACATTTCACCACAGCTCTGCAACTCATCTCCGTTTCTTCTGAGAAGAAACGTTTCCCTCCTCTGACAGATCATCGTCTGGACTTTGATTTGGTTTCCTCTCTGCAAACGGCCTCAGCGAAACACACACACACACACACACACACACACACACACACACACACACACACAGGGCGTTGTGCTGATGAAGCCATTGTCCTCCCTCAGTCCGTGTGCTCTGTGCATGTATCACGACGTGTTCGCATGGTGCTGTATTTGTTGAATGGCCCAAATAATGCACAGCAGAAAGAGACTGACTCAGCAGAAAATGGAGCGAATGGATGGAAACATTCAGATTCTGAAAAATATTGTGAAACTGTTGTTACAGAAGCTTGAATCACTGTATTTCAAGGAAATTATTTTACAACTGAGGGAAAATATTGTGCCAATTTCAGAAGCAGCTGTGTAACAGTTTGATGACAGAGGAGCCGATCTCTGCAGTGAAACCTGCTGAATGTGACCAGCAATTCTTTGCTTTTATAACATTTATCTTCATGTATTTTTGTCAACATTTCCTTTTTTGTCTTGTTTATATTATGGAAGGCTGTATTTTTAAACCTGCTATGACTGTTGGGGTGAAGGTTCGGACTCAGAAGGCTCACTGCTGCCTTCACCAGTGCACCAGCCTACAGAGCCCCTGACTTCCACTGCCACTCAGCCTGTCAGTTGCAGTCCCCCCGCCCGTCCCTGGGCCTCGTGTTGAGTATCGTCCCTCTGTGCACCACATTCTGACTGACTAATAACTGCTCTCTTCTGAAGCAGAGATAAAAGAAAATCCCCCGGAGGCAAAATCCCTCACGGCTGCTGCTATTGAATTTTCCTTTAAATCAAGTGGCTGCCAATCACTGGCCTGAACACACACAGAGAGGAAGATTCCTGACGCTCAGCTAAACCCCCACTCACTTGCCATACAGGCACTTTAGGGGAACAATATTAGGAATTAGGAGGGTCAGGCTGGAAACCCACCTGCAGACCTTTCAGGATGGAGGATGGATTGAGAGGAGGAAGAAACGTCTGATGATGTTTCTCAGCGCCTTGGAGCATAAACTCCATCCGACAAGGAGCCAGTGGAAACCGCAGAAAGAAATAAATCACCCGACTTTTAATGAGAGTTTTGGACCGGAGGAGAAAACAGCAGCAGGAGGCTGGGATTGATGGTTGTTTTCCAGGAAGAGGGAAGGAAAACAAAGAGGGTGAAGGAGGAAAGGGGGGGAGTGAAGAGGCGGAGGAAGCCTGGGGGGCCACTTAAGCTAATTAATGGATCAGCGTGCACGTGCAGTGAGCGTGCACCTTGTGTTTTAAGGGGGCTTAAGTCCTCTTCCATTAGAGAAATGAGAGGGCAGGAGGGAGGCTTCAAGAAGAAGACGAATGGGCAGCAACACACAAATAGCTACAAAGAGTCACAGTCAGTCTTCTGGACTAATCAGGATTTTTTTTTTGTTTTTTATAAATGCACACTCTCTCACTGTGAGGCTACAAAATACACTGATTGAATTAGAGCACAGCTCAAACTACAGCAACAGGAAGAGAGGGATGACAAGAAGGAGAGAGAGAAGCAGCTGAGCAGGTGCTTCACACCTGGGTTCAGTTTCAGTGTGAAAGCCGTTAGCATCGGTGACGACCTGGGGCTCAGCGCCAGGTTATAAACATACACAGGGAAACATGCACAACTCCTTATTCAGCAGCAGCAATGAACTCTCAGTCAGACACTAGCATCAGTTGTTTTTTTTATGTTATGTAGGGACGGGGTTACAAGGCCGGCTGATTCGAGTGTCGTCACACCATTCAATAGCCATTATCAACGTAATCACAGCTATAAATATGGCTCAGCTTTCTGAAAGCCAGGAGGTTGTTATCACTGACAGACGGGCTAACGAGGTGAGATTTAGCATCGGCAGTAACTATGAGCCCAGCCACAGACTGAACTAGGTGACAGGAAGTCTGGGTTAGGACCAAGGTGGCCCAGAAAACCTGGGACACAGGAAAGAGGGGTTCGACTCCAGTGACACGTGGCATTTTGTGTCCATGAGTGTTTTAACCCCAGCTACAACCTTTCCCTAACCACATACATAAAGCAGGAACAACGAAGGCCAGCTGGGTCCCAACAACCTACTGGCCCTCCTAGCAGACGAGCAGTGACCTGCTGAGCCATTACTATGGTCCAAAGTTAAACTGAACAGAGTAACAACATCTGACGCTGGTGACAATGATCGAATCGTCGATCGTGCTCACTGTCAAACTGTCCTCCAGGTACAGACAGACAGCTCCAGTTCCAAGTTACCTGATCCAACACTTTTCATGCTGTGTGACTGCCGAGTCTGCAGCCATTTCTGTGGCTCTTGCTCATGTCCTGTGTGAAGCCATGTTGCTCTGTAGGCAGCCTGTAAATCTGTCAGTGGTGTGGACGTGTTCAGCAGACTCATTCAGGTATGTCAGAATCAAAGTTCTCCACAAACTGGACCAGTTGTTTTAATTTCCCCCTACAGACTGAGGCTAAAAGCTCAGTGCATCACTAAACCGTGGTGCGCTGGGTGCCGAGCACTTTTTGGGTTCATTTCCATGTGATTTAAATCTTCGTCTCCTCAGCCGTCTGCGAAGAGGCTGAGCCTGACTGACATCTAAGTCTGATCAAGCTCTCTAAGTGTCTCTGAGCTATTTCTGTCATTGCTGGAATGATGGAGGATTTTAACTGCCCACAATCCACTGCTTTCAACATGTGGAAGGCCAATAAGGTCAGTTTCCTGGAGGAGTCATGCTTTAAAGAAAGTTTTCAGTGCATAAAGCCAGCAGCCAGAATCACCTTCCACTGTGCTACACTGTCAAACACGACCTCTTCTGGCTGAGAGGCTCCAACAATACGTCACGTGTCAGTACCTACAGTTAAGGCTTCTACATTTGCAGCAGATGAAACTAGTAAGAAGCAAAGAGGCTCCGAGTCAGAGGCCTACTCAGTCAGTATTTTGCTGCAGGTAATGGTTCTCATAGCATCAGCGCTTTGGGAAATGCCGTGATAATGAAATGTAAAAAGCACATGTGGATGGCGATTTACAAGAACTCGCTCTGCGCAGCAACAAATCAAACTATCACACAACATCAGAGACGACTGATCCTACATCTCCATTACTCAGAGCCTGAAAAATGCAGTTTACCACAGTGATAAAAGCTCCTGCCCAGTCAGGATTATTCATCAGTGAGCTCGTTAGACCCCACAGAACAACACCTACAGTACAGAGTGAAGGATTCCTGTCAGACTTCGTGTTATTGTGCACAGAGCCCATAACAGCGCTAGTGAATGTGGTGTACTCACTGTAGCCTATGTGAATCCAGACCCTGGTTTAGCCAAAACTATCAGACCCAGCCTAGTGAGCCACACCGCTGCACTGGGTAACAGAAGAAGAGAAGACAGGGTCTGCAGCTGTGTTCCTGGATCCTCCTGCAAAGACTTAATGATACAATCACTCCAGGCAGGTGTAAACAAGGGGGACTGGGGTCCTTAAGAAGCCTTGTGCACTCTAACAGTGAAAGACTTATACTGGTATGTGTGGTTTTAGTGAGTAGAAACCAGTGCACACATGTATTTCAGCCATGGCCACAGACTTTGTTTCAGAAACAACGCAATAAGTTGTTGTTCGCTTTAGGTAGAAACATCCGATTTCTAAGACACCAGGATCCCAAGTCTTACCTGAGACAGTACAGTGCTCTTACAGATGTGACAGATGTGATAAACAGCTATGAAAATGTGACCGACACTGTACTGAACTGGAGGAATCCTGTAACTGCAGAGTCATTTTTCAGACGACAGGGCCCACAGAGGCAGAGACAGGTCTCCACGAGGGCGAGCTGGGAAGTCTCGACTGAGCCCATTAAGCCCTCGCCTGACAAAATGAGAACACTTTACCAGGTTGGATCCCGTGGACGTCAGAGACACTGAAACATCATCTTCAGGTAATCATCCTCCTTTTCCTCTTTATTAAACTCCCACGTGGGCAGGAGCACGTCGAACAGCTGGAGTCAGGTATTTCTCCTCAGCTGCAGTTTTCTGGGGCAGACAGGAAACTTTGGCCCACTCCCAATTTGGGACATGGTATAAAAACAAATGAATAATATCTGCTTAAAGTAGGCCCCCAGGAACAAGTGGCCAATATGAGGTCTATACAGTTCTCCCCAAAGAGCCTGGTCCCCTCGTTCTGCTCCTTCAGACCAAGAAGCAGCAGCTGAGGTGACACAGGGCTTTTGTGTCTGAACTGCTCATCAAACGAGGTCAAAGACTGAGATGCAAACTTTCACGGTGAAAAAAGGCTGAACTGGGACAAACACCAGGCAAGAGAGACCAAGTGCGAGCACACACCAACGGGAATAAACTCCGATATTAATTAAGCACCGTCAACGGCAGAAAAATGCTGAGGCAATAATCCAGGCAGACTGAAATACCTTGTCTGCAAAAATAAAAGAAGATACCGGCAGAACTGAGGACAATTCTCACCAGACACAGCTGTACTGTGGGTTTAGGTATAAAAGGAAATGTCAGCGTGCAACTGCCCAGGATGCATTGCTACAGTAAGTGAAGCTGGTTATTCTGGCCTCTTGGTAGGTGCACCTTGGCCCTACTGAAACATAATCAGCAACTGATAGCCATTTAATGGGGCAATAACATTTTAAACTACGCTGTCCGTCTCAGATGTTTGCTGGGATGCAGTTCTGATCAAGAGATTTTACAGTTTTCCTGAGGTTCCTGTTGTTTCACTGCAGACAGAGTCTGTACCAAAGCCACCGGGAAACTAACACGGCAGCAGTTTAAAATGTAGATGGCTTCATGTAAACATGAGCAGTTCCAAACAGGCAGCTCTTCAGTGCTGCCATAGACACTTCAGATGAGTGCGGCTGCACAGCTCCAAACTGAACATGAGAATTCAAACACTAATGATGCATTTGTGGCTAGTTTCTGAGCAGCCGCCCCCGTGGGAGCTGAAGCACAAGGACAAGTGCTGCTTCTGATGGTGAAGACAAAGAGAAAAAGCCTTCTGAACAGCCATTTCCCTGCCACTGTTAGCGCTAGCATCAGCGAAATACCATCACATGGCACACACATCTATCACTAACACACACACAGTCCTGCAGAAGTGGAAGGAGGGGGTCAGGAGGTTGTCAGAAGGTTCTAGGGCATTTTCCAGGCAGGGGGGCAGAGACTGGAGTGAAACAGGCAGGAGGTCGAATCTTATCGGATTTAATCCAGAGACAGACATGCAGACCTGCCATCCCCCTGCTCAAGGACACACACACACACACACACACACAGGGATTAACCCCTTCAGCCTCTTCAGGACTAGAAACAAGGTCACAATGCCCGTTTGTTTCACGGCTGTCAGACTGCAGCAGGTCTGAGGAATCACACCAGCGACCTGCCTCAGACCAGAACAAACAATCACGCCTGGAGCAGCGACAAATCGGTCACTGGGTCCTCACAACCAATACGACTGACACGGCATGCATTGTTCTAGTTTCAGCTGCCTGTCCCACATTAACATGCGTGTCCAACAGTGAACACCAGTGCAACAGTGAAAACCTTGGACAACACTCTGGGTCCTCACAACCAATAAGACTGAAACGGCATGCATTGTTCTAGTTTTAGCTGCCTGTCCCACATTAACACGCGTGTCCAACTGCAACAGTGAAAACCTTGGACAACACTCTGCATCTTCACTCAAACCAGCTGAAGGTCTGGGTCTGTATCACAGCACACACACATTGTTCATTCTGACTCAGTCCCATGTATGCTGTCCTGCTGCCAAATGTGGATTCATCCGCCTCTGAATATAGTCCCCACACACTGGTTCCCCCGTTGGTTTGATAAAAACCACAGTGAGCAGCGGTTTTAGGAAACTGATGAGACTTAAACAGGGACAGTATATACAGAATGTGTGTAGATGTTTGTCTTCGAGAGGAACCACTGGGCATATTTTTGTCATTTTAAATCTGTCAATCGTCTTGATTTTAATAAATATATGTACCGCCATAATGGCTCTCACCTCACAGACATACAGTAACTGCAGCTCAGCTCCCATCAGTCACATTAAGTCTGGTTCCATGGATCCCCAGAAACAATATCGGGGTCACAGCTGTATCACAGTTTTTACATTGGAGGCCCAATTTCCTGGATTTGATCTGAAAAAAGGCTGCGTCCCACACCCTGGGACCAGAATGGCATGTTGTTTGCCAAACCTAAAAGGAAGCTCGGAACCTGCAGAGAGTCCGTTTGACTTTGTGTAAATAATTCTGTTACTGTTTCGCT